CATAACCAATGAATACTGAGAGCTAATTGGCTGTGTCAACGGTTCCTCCCTTTTCCACTTCGTCTGAAAAAATGGCAACATCCCAAATATTGACAAGGCCAAAAATACTCTACCGTCAAAAGTTTGGGGTCACATTGAAAATGGTTGCCGGTGCGTTGGACACTACACACACAATACTACATAGTGCACCGTGAGTTGTGCTACTGGTAACTAGTCTAACTGTAAAGAAATGCACTCTATACATTGCTTATGTGGTAAATGACTGTTTCTAGCTGCAAATTCGGTTTTTGGTGCACTGTTGTAATTGGCTGCACAATGGAGGATCTTTGACTAAAGCAAAGTTGGATGTTAAAACAAATCTTATTTTAAAATACAAATCATTATTTCTAACCTCGTCAATGTCTTGAACTCTATTTTCTATCATTTCACAACGGGTGGGTGGTGAAGAATGTGACTTTTCCATGGAAAACACTTGGGTGTACCCCCAAACTTTTGGAACGGTAGTGTTACTTGCTGTGAAAAAGTCCAAAAAAATACACTTATTAGATCAGATTAATTTTGAGAATGAATTGAAAATCAGCGTAATTACCAAAACTGCATCATTTAAGCACAAGAATTGTCAAGTGAATTGTTTTCATACCTGACAACCCAAACAGCCTAATCCAAATGATGTTGAACTGTAGTCGTAAACCGTCTAATAATCCGTCTTTGACATTCTCTCTGTAATGTTCTTTATACTAGAGGGATACATCTGTGGTGATCCTTTGGCAGACTATCACTTCCCAATTTTAATTTGTACCCCTGGGCTTTTGTACTGTGTCCTCTGTTTGCTTGGTTTGATAATTCAATCCATGTGGCTTGATAAACTTTCACATGGTCTGGGAGGCTCTGTTTTGGCAGGTGCTCTGTCCATCGTTCTGTAGCGTCCGGTTTCCTGCTCTCCTCTGGTTCTTCTTCTGAATGACTTCTCCACATGACACAAACCTCAATCTCTTGGCGGGGCTTATGGCAGCCAGGAAGACACACGGTGGAAGCCCTCACTCCCTGTTTGTCCACGTTGTTTATTTGGAGCTTCCACAGTGAGAGTACACAGTATAAAAGGAAAATAGGCAAGGGAAGTTTATTTTTTATAGCACAGTTCATACACAAGGCAACTCAAAGTGCTTAACAAAACATAATAGAAACAATCACACAAGGCATTAAAATCATAAATAATCACAGTAAGTTAAAAAGAGTAAAGATGAAATCCCTCAGTTATCTTCACAGCTAAACAGACTGTTTATAACCTGGATTTAAACATTGTAAAATGAAAGATTGAAACAGAAGAGGTACCAGGATTAACCCCTGTGGCACTCCACAGGTCAGGGCCATATGATCTGAGAAACAGTTTTGAATGTCCACAAAGTACTGTACTTCCTGTCTTCTAGGTAGGACTTAAACCAACTTAACCCAACCCAATCCTATAATCTCTGTAAGACGATCTCATGGTCGACAGTGCGAAAAGCAGCACTCAGATCTAACAGGATTGAGACTTTGTCTGTGTCAGTGTTTTTAATTGCAAAAAAAAGAGACAATTTCTTGTTAGGTTGAATAACATTTGTAAAAATTCCAGCACACAATCGATCTCTGTTTTCCAATGGTAGATGCCATTAAAGTCGCCACAACCCAAACACTATACAACACTATAATTAATTATAATTATAATTATACATCATTTATACAGTAGAAAACTATCCACTAAAACCAAGGAGCCGTGTCGAAACCATGGACTTGGACGCTCTGAACCAATGCGAAGCCTGGAAACTCATTTAGCCAATGAAACGCTTTGACATATTGACAGAATTGATAGGCAAAGCCAAGTAGTGGCTGCAAAGTACGAGACACTGACACGTTTGTCATGTGACCAGATTGTTTTGATACACGCTCCAACGCAATGTTTCAAAGCAGTCTACTTCGGGGAGAGCGGCACAGGCTCCAGAGCGTCGGTTTTGTTTGCCCGTCTCTAAGAATAGTTATGAATGTTAGAGAAAACTAGATCGGCATAGCATGTACCATTAATCTGTGTAACAGTACTATGATAGACCAACTGTTTCTTTTCTGGACATTTGTGTTTTATTTTTGTCCTTAAAAATAATATAACAAAATAAACAATAATCAAAACGTTGTGATCACCGAGACGATCATATCACCATCTTCAATCATATGTTTTCTTTCAAACACAAGGGAAAAACGTTGGTTTGCTTGTCAAAAAACACTGCCTCAGCTGTTTATGATGTAATGCAAACCTGCGCATGCGTGTCACACGGCAGCCAAAGCAAACCAAGATGGTGGACATTTAAAAGTTTAAATACGAACAAATTAAGACACAAATGTCACTTTTAATGCAATTTGAGGCGAGATGTTAATGGTTCCATGTTGAGATATGTGGGTTTTAGGAGTAAATGTTTTGTGTAAAGTTTGGTTTAAGTAGTCAACTGCTCCTGTCAAACCACACTGCTACTGTGTGATGGCAGTTCCTTTCTTGTGGAGTTGAACTACTGCATACGTCATTTTACTGACGTAGGTCAATGACGTGTCCTGTGGCTAACTCTGCAGTAGTTAGCTTTTAACTGGTCCATCGGGTTGATGAGGGAAATAATAAACAACAATTAAATAAGTCGTAAGCTATCACTAGATGTCAGTGTTAGAAGCTAGTATGAGCTAGCCCAGAGGCTCTGGCCACGGTGTGTTACAGGTATAGACTATAAATATTACAGGGCTTCATCTGCCCATCACAACAAAGAAGGCATTTGAAACATGGCCACGGTGTCACAAGCTGAGCCTCCTCCAGGCCTCCAGGGCTCTCTGTTATCCTAAATTTTCCCCATTCTGTCACGTGGTGGGAAGGAGGAGGACTCAAAATGCAAGAATGCAAAAATAATGAATTAATAAAATAAAGTCCAAAGTGAAAACTAATCTCAAAATTCCAAAGGGGAACAGGAACAGGACAGAACATGATGAGACAAAACAGGACAGACGTTGACAATACAATGGACCAGCAACAAGAGGAGAGGAGTACAGGTACATATAGGCCCTGTCCACACGAAGTCAAGCTCAGGCCTAAACGCAAAAATACTTTATCAATCCAGTGTATCGTCCATACGAGGCCGGCGTTTTGGGGGGGTGTAAACGAACATTTTTGAAAGTAGGTCCCAGAGTGGAAAGATTTCAAAACTCCGTATATGCCGCTCCGTGGTTACTGCCTCTCCGCAATGTATCTGAGACGCTTGCGTCATCGCCCCGCCTCTTGTTAAAGCACGCATGCGCCGCACTCAGAAAATAATGACAACAACAATGTAGCTTGTTGGTTTTGTAATCCAGTGTGACCCGAAGCAACAGTTCAACCTCATCGTCCGTCCATACTAATGTAGTACCAGCTCGCACACTCGCCATGTTGTCTGTTTACAAAATTCTGCGCATGCCCAGTTCCCGTCACGGAAGTTTGGGCTTGATCCCGTCATTGCGTCACAGCGCCACCAACAGGTCTGGCATAGTTTCACAGCGTTTTCAGGCGTATTGACTACATTCATATGGACGCACACATTTACTGAGCTAACTCCGTGTTTACAGAAAAAGTTTCTGAAATTATAAGCGTTTTGTCTTCGTGTGGATATAGCCATAGACACAGACACAGGTGAAACACAACAGGGCGGGGCAGACAATCAAGACTGGGGAACAACACAGGAAGTAAAACTAAAACCAAAGCACAGGGAAATGATATCAAAATAAAACCAAAATACAAAAATAAAAACCACACCATGACACATTTCCTTAAAGTGTGTGTGTGTGTGTGTGTGTGTGTGCGTCCCACCTACGGATGCACTTGTACCCGGCTTGTTGTTGTGGATACATAAACATCCAGTCTTCCTCATCTGTTTGAGTTGTGGCTGCAGGAAACGCTGTTCTCTACAAACATCAGAAATGTCCAGGAGAAAATAGATTTTGAGGTGCTTTTACTGCACCACTTGATCTATAAAAAAGCTTAGCTACAGAAAAGTAACTTTGTTTTCACCTTGGTATTTCCAGACCATATCTCTGCACAGATGTTTCTGTACACTATGCCAGCCACTTGGTTATGGCGTTCCATGTAGGCCTTCCCTGCCAGCATCTTGCACCCTGCAGTTATGTGTTGGATCGTCTCAGGTGCCTCTTTGCACAACCGACACCTTGGGTCTTGTCTGGTGTGGTATATCTGGGCCTCTATCGCTCTGGTGCTCAGGGCCTGCTCCTGTGCAGCCATGATGAGTGCCTCTGTGCTGTCCTGTAGGCCAGCCTTTTCTAGCCATTGGTAGGACTTTCTAGCCATTGGTAGGACTTGAGATCAACCACTTCTTCTATGCTCCGGTGGTACATGACGTGTGGGGGCTTGTCTTCCCATGATGGGCTCTCCTCCAGCACCTCCTCATCTCGCCACTGTCCGAGACATTCGCTGAGAACAAGAAAAGTTTGAGCCTTCTCCATGATGTAGTTATGGAGTTTGGATGTTTCGTCCTGGACAGTGGCTCTCACACTTACTAGGAAAATGCTCCACAGCAAGAGTTTGTCGACTTTAGAACATTTCCTCAATTTATTATCCAAGGACAGGAACTTGTTTTACTGTGTTGCTGTGTTGGGGCGGCACGGTGGCTGAGTGGATAGCACTCTGACGTGTTCATGATGTGTTCATTAACATGTACCGTCCCAACCAATAAATTAAATTAAATAAATACATATAATTTGTGGCATTTGTAATTCTTCTGGACTTTACACACACATTTGTTGTCTCGATTGAAAACAAGATCAATGTGGTCATTAAGATAATGGGTAAAATATACAGGCAGTGTTTTTTGTGTGTCTGTCATCATTGTGGGCTCTGCAAAATGTGATCCTTTATTAAATAAAATATGTTTTTAAATACATATAGTTAGCATGTAGTTATATATATATATATATATACAAAATATTATTAATAAAGCTTGATTTTAGTTTAGTAGGTTTCTTCCACTAGGAGGGTCGCAGGTGGCCTGTCTCTGGCTGAAATGTGGCTCCAGTGTGTGGTATTTTGCCACACACAGGAGGCAAGTATATTGTCTGTTGAGGTGCTGGTGCGCCAAGTCTACTGCGGTTGAGCACACTCACAACCGGTTACAACCTCACAATGGCCCTCATTTACGAAAGTTGCGCAGAAAAGGGTGTATATTTTTGGTGTATATTCCATTTACGCCAGACACAACGCAGGATTTATCAACGTGTGAGATACACACAGATCTGAGCGTACGCAGCCATGGCTGTTGATAAATGCCGCCCTGAAAACCAGCGTATTTAAGTAACGCCTAGAAATATTCAGAAAACGCCCCGTTTTTTTGACAGGTCAGCCTAGAAGCCGGCCTGCAAGTCTAGTTGGAAGCCTGAGAAGGCCTGTTAGTGACACGCACTGAGTTTATATTGAGTTTTATTGCATTATTTTGTCAAAAAAGAACACAAAAAAAATTATAATATATATATATTTTATATACACGTTTTTCCCTAGTGTCTACACCCACTGCAGTGCTCATCTCTTTAAAAATGAATGAATGAATGAATATTAATATATCAGCGGTGACTCATCTGCGTCAAGCGTCAGCGACATCTTCTTGTGAATGCAATGGAGCGATCTCTGTGAGAGATAAAGGATGTGTATGAGTCCGCGATATCACAGAAAAACTCAGTGCCCGTGAGCCCGTTCCCACAAAGAAAACGCTTTATCTCTGCCATTGCTGCGTTAATGGGGCTTTATGCACAAAACTATTGAAGAAATACGTTGTTTTGCCAGAGGTGAATGAGACAAAACCAATAGCCGTGCGTAATTACGCGGGGTCTGCCACAGATTTACGGAGAAATAGATGGTCACACATTAAGTAAGTAAATAAGCCAGGTGTAATTGTATAGCACCTTCACAGAGCAGGATCATAAAGCGCTTAACATTAAAAATAAAAAACATACGGATGAAAAAAATACACACAAGTCAGATTTGAAAACGAAGAAACAGAAGAGGGTCCTCATCATGAACGTATCATGAATTGTGATGTATTCAAAATGTGCGTGTTTCCAGAGTGTTAGAGTTTTTCCGATGCTCAAATTCAGATTTAGGAACATGATGCTCAATGAAACAAATGTTATAATTTTGCCAGAGAGTGAATATGTTTATTGTTGTCCAAATCTTGCATTTCATGCGTGTTTTGGCGTGTTGTAATGAAGGTTGAAATGAGCGTACACATTTACACCACCTATTGACTTGGCGTAAAGTCTGTGCGTATCGTACGCTCACGTCCAGATTGATAAATGCCAAAAAGTGTAAATTTTTTGCGTACGCCTCATTTACACCTTGATTTGGGCGTACGCAAGTTTCATAAATGAGGCCCATTGTGTGTACACACCAAGACTACCTGGTCCATAAAAATGTTAAAAATATGAGCAAAGTTTGCAAGAATATTTACAAGAAGAGAACTGAGATGCTCTCTTCAGTTTTCCCGCTCTTTGGAGAAACAGAAGCGGCAAAACCAGACTACTTGGAAACGTGAAGCAGCCCGCAGATAATGTCAACAGGCAAGAATCATTAGGACTTACAACAAATTTCATCAGATATAAAAGATACGCCACAATCAGGAAAATAAACCTCGCGTTTTGATTGGTCGATGCGCCGCAAGTTTCTGCCATCTTTCCCTGGTCCGGGACAAATCAGAATGTTCAGAACCGAGACGCAACAGAAGGTGACGACTGAGACGGTGGAACAGGCAGAAATGAAAATACTCATGGTGAGGTTGTCTTCACATTGCTTGACATCAGACGCAGTGTATGTCAAAGATATGATGGCGGCACTCAGCAACCAAACCACTACAATGCTTGTGTTTCTGATTATAACCCCGCCCCTCTCCTTCAGACGCAGGTACGTGATTGGGTGAGCCACGGCCAGGTAGCGCTCCGCGCAGGTGAGAGTGTGAATGAACATTTGCCCAATTAAGCCAATACTGTAAAAGTTTGATCCGACCAATTGCACAACGAGATTGCAAAATTCTGTCTTTAGAATTTTGTGATCTCGTTCTGGTGGGCTTTAGAGCTGATTGGCCAAATGAGTGTGGTCCTCTTTTTTCACTTTTGTGGATCTCTCCTGCAACTCCATAAGTGAAGTCTGGTCCTGGGATGGAGAATCCTCTGAGCCTGGGCTTTCCTAAAGGAGCCTGTAACCCGGGAAACAAGGAGACGGGGAAGGGGAGGACACATGACCATGAGAGAAAGTAGATATTTGTGCAGTGGCAGTACCATAGTTATTGCTTCGTCAAATGGGACACACATTTCTTAACACTTCTCACACTTAAAACATTCATATTGACTCATACCTGTTTAACTTTTACAGTTCTATCAATACAGTTCTCTCATTTGGGTTCAGTCAGTCACATCTTTAGAGCTTCTTTTTGAGACAGAGAAGTGAAAGAGGGCCAACCTCACTATGCTCTCAGCCCAAAGTGTCAAATAGTGACTCAGGTCTTCTGTTTTACAAGTATACAATGTTTTCCAAACTAGTTAGAGGATAGCATGCTGTGGTCTGACTTTCTTGCAACATTTAACTTTCTGGACCCTTTCTGTTGGGATCAAAGAGTCATTCATCATTTTCAAATGTTAGGTACACCAGCTTTAAGGGTACATTTCCTAATGTATTGCTTTGTCAAATGAGACATGCATCGTAACCATAAAAATGTTTCTTCATAATCATTAAACTATAAATAAATAATATAGTTAATAGCTTTGGCCCTTGTTTACTTTGTGGTTACTATGGAAAATACCTCAAGATTCAAGGTTAATTTATTATGTCCCATTGGAAATTTGTCTTGGACTCACAGGCTGCTACATTGAAAATACAAATAAGACAAACATAAAACACAACACAATAACACAAACATAAACCATCATGAGTGACATGAGAAAGAATCACAGAATGATCCAATACAAGACAATATGTGAACAACATTTTATCTGATGTCTCACCTCAATGATGCGAGGGTTGATCATCATGGACTTTCGGAATACGCCCACTCTCGGAGGCGTAGCCATGGCAACGGCCCGTTGGAACCTGTTCACAGAGAAGACAGAGCAGGGGTTCCAAAACCTTTCAGTCCAGGTCCCCCAAAGGACACAATCAACTCACCACAAATTTGATAGCATTAATGATTTGAAATGTAAAAAGTCAATTTGAATCATGAGGATTTAAATAATGGGCTGTGTTATGGTCTTGTATCTTAATGAATGATTCAACACACTGTCATATAGAATCATATCTTGAAATGCTCTTTCGAGCCCTAGCTAAGTCTCCCATGATTTAGCTAGGAACCTCTGCTATAAAGTCCCGTTCCACACATGCCGCCTTTCCTGGGAATTTCACCTGGAAGTTTCACAAATAAATGACCAATAACTGGTAGAGGTCATTGCCATGTTCCGGCTCCATGTTGTGATTCTACTAAAGAACTATTCAAACATAAAGAAGTTAGCTAAAATTGATAGAATAATATTTGTCCCTTTAACATCTATAAAATATTGTTTTTCCTATAGAGGTATTACAAATAGTATTTCTTAATAATGTGGTTGTGTCCATATTGTGTATTGAAATAAAGTGCAGAGGGATTAGGTGAGTTATCAATTCATATTTTTTGCAGAAATCCTGACACAGGATACATATTAAGAAACAAATCCATGGATTCGTTTGGATCCAAATCCTATCAAACACTTTGATCAATGTCTAACAAGCCTGTTTTTATTGTGAGTAATATTGAGTGGATTTCTCCACTAAACACACTGTTTGAGAAACATTAACTATGTGTGGATGCTTTAGCAAGTATTACTATTACTATTCATTACTAATACTTGTTTGGAAGTGTATAATAGGCCCTCGTTATTGACAGACTGAATATAACATAAGTATTTAGCTTTAGTTAGTTAGTTAGCTAGTTAGCTAGTAAGCTAAATTGCTAATGTTAATGTGTAACGTTAGCTAATCAGCATTACTGACATCGTGTTTTTATTCTATTCGGCATAAAAGCATTAGTTCGCTAGTAAAAGATATATTTTAAATCATATGTTGAATGTTTTTGTGTTTTACTTTATCATGAGACTAAGTTGTCACTTACCTTTCCTTCGACGCTCAAGAACATGTCTTGTTACTATGGAAACCAGAAACAGTCCATGGCCCTGCGGCACTGTCGTTATGTTTTATCTTTGTACTTGTATTCATTTAAATCATACGGAGCCCTGCAAGGGCCAGGGGTAAAAAATAAAATAAACTGTGCGCACAGATTATTAAACTGTGCGCACAGATTATTAAACTGTGCGCACAGATTGTTAAACTGTGCGCACAGTTTATTTATTTTTTTACCCCTGGCCCTTGCAGGGCTCCGTAAAATCACCTACTTTTTCAAATGTATTTTCAACTAAAGAGATAAACGGAACGTTACCTATTACGTAATCTTCGGAAATTATAAAATGGCACAGAGCAGTACAGGCTTATGTTTAGATTAGCATTATTTGCAAATAATAATCATAATAATATTGTTATCACATTGCTATTGTAATGAAATACATATTTTGTATTCGTTATTTTTGGCAAAAAGCATTTTGTTTAATTTAGTTTAGTAATGCTCCTGTGGACTCACCACCTGCAGGAGGATCAGTGAGGGGCTGGTGCTCTGTGTACTGGGTGCAGCTCTGACTGCCACCCCCCACGACCCAGAAATGGATTAAGGGGAAGAAGATGGATGGATGGATAGTTTAATAATTTAGTTTATGCTGTTTTCTCTTGGTGAGTACTGCATAAAAAAAAAAAATACCATAACATGTTGACATTGAAAGCAAATAACAAAAACGAATTAAAAGTCTATGTTTGATCAGTAAAATTAAGTGAATGACATTACAGTTCTCTTCTGAACGATTCATACATTTATTCATAAAGATCAAGTAAGCATTACATGATTGGCGCTGGATTACCACCAGAGGGCAGGAGTGAGGCTAAATTAAGAAGCAGGAGAAGGAGGTCAATCCTCAAGAATCTCCCTATTCCCCCCTTCTGACGAACCAGCCCTAAGCTTTTTATTTATTGTAGTACAGAGACATATGATGCAAAATGGTCTGTTATGAGGGTATAAACCATGTTACAACAGGTTTTTGTGGGTGGGTCTTCTGTTCTTGTCAAGAACAGACTAGAAGTTGTTTATACACACATTAGTATTCTCTCCAAATTAGCTCTTGGGAATTTCTTCAGTCAAATATCTTTCTTTTCAACTGTGGGCTCTCAATGTTATAGGCCTATATGTTTATGAAAATAGCAATTATCTGAGACAAAATCTTTCTCCTTTATACATGTGTGTCCATATATTACCTACTTTCCCTAAAGTTTGAGGAAAGTTATTGAACGAGGACGTAGAGCAGCCTTCCAGAACTGATGACATCACCAGAGGGAGAATCAGGGTTTGTCTTAAAGTTTGGCATAGTTGATGAAAAAAAAGGTCTTCACTCCATTGAATCCAAGTTTATTTTTGTAAGTTACAATGGGGTCAAATGCACTTTAAGTTAAAGGCACACCGTGTAACTCTTGGCCACTAGGGGCGCTAGACCTGCAACTTTCACGTTTAGCGCCCCTAGTGGCCACAAGCAACTCAGCACTGTCGCAAAAGTCAACAAACAGTCAGCCGGTGTCTTTTGAGTGTGTATTCAGACAGCATGCACTGGTGTGTGTGTTCAAACTGTAGAGACATGCCTACAGATATTGAGAGACTCTGCTGTGGTCAGCCTCCAGACCGCTGCATTAGTAATCTACCACACATGGACTTCTATATCCTGGATGAGGGAGTTCTGCGTCTAGCTCGTGCTGCGTGGAATGACATCTTTGCAGTCGATGACATCCAGGAACCAGGTGAAGAGCAGCGCTCATACAGACATGCAGCTTACAGCACGATCCCTTTCGCGTTTCCTCTTTTTAGCCTCCTCCGAAGGTTTAAAATTTTTCCTTGCCTCAGCCATGACCAGGAGTCGAGCAGGTGAAAAATGAGTAGCAAAAGCCTTAGCTCCATGAGTATATCAGCGCCTGTAGCCGTAAAGCAAATCTTTCTTCCAAGTCACGTGACCTGGTGGCAGACGGTCCGTCTGCTCGAAAGTTACATGGGCGGTATTTCAAGAGGGCAGCCCCGCTCGGAGCATTGCAAGTGTCAAGCGCTGTATATTGGCCCAAGTATTCATATAAAATAACTCATATGTGTCAACTCTTTAGGTCACAAAGTCCGCGGTGTGCCTTTAATCTTTTGCTTCAAACAATCAATTATGGAAGCTTTGAATGTTCCTGAGGGGAAATTCTGAAACATGGAATCCCAAAACTAACATTCTCAAAATCATGTTTAAGGCACAAAAGTAACAAATAAGGTATTATCGTCTTTTAAAAAGCACACTCAACTGCATCTAGTATAGTCTGTCCTGGAATCTGGTTCAGTCTCGGTTTTTCTTCTCGTCTGATTGATAACGACGGGGGTGTAGCACACAACAGTTTTCACAGAGGAATAAACTGGATCTTCTTCAAAACAAGAAATTAAGAATTGTTATTTATGTAATATGTATTTCATTCCAAATCAATAAGTACATTCACCCAAAATGAACACATAAATAAACAAAAATGTGTACCGTTTTCTGTGAGTCTGCCACAGCCTTTACCTGAAATACAAAAACACTTTACTGTAGCAGTGTCCATGATTATAGTATATAAAGTCCATGCTCTAGGCAACTCTACAGTCTACTGCACCACACAACAGCTATAGATTTATTTGATTATTATCATTGTTGTTGTTATTAATAGATTACTATTATTATTATTATCATTCGGTTCATCGAGACATGAACATAGACTTTGTGCCACTTTCCGTCTTCGTGTTGCAAACGCTCATACACAGCAAATGTACTTACTAGAAACAAGGCCATGAGGATACTATGTTGTTTTTGCAAATCAAACTAAATGACTATCTAAAAACCACACAATTTAAAATGGTTCCATATGTGAGGTGTGAAGATTAAGAGGAAACCAGTGGTCAGAGATCGGAAATCAAACAGGACTAAAAGCCTGTGTTGAAATGGCTTCACAGGCACACAACTGTGATGGCAAAACCACATCTGTTCCACTCGAGTGGCCTTCAACCACACGACCAGTGCACAGACCTTTGTATTGATATCAGAAAATCATTATGTGGCCCATTTGTAAAAAACAGGGGTGGAAAAAGTACAATACATCGAGGAAACCCATTGAGTTCCATAAAGTGACCAATATTAAAACAAAAAAGTAAATATATTTTGTTCGCAGGATAATTCCAATGGCCTCTTAACTAAGGATCTGGCTTCACAGCAGCATGTACTTGGACTTTTATTCTCTTTATGCATTATTAACATTCTCAGTCTAAAATAAAAAGGCATACAATCCTATCAATTGTACCTTTTTTGAGTTTTTGTCCAGAATTTGTAGATTAATAACTACATATTAAATGCAGAGATGCCATTGGTGCAGTGGACATATGGGCTACCAGAACTGGTTTTATTAATTCATATTAAGATTTTTAATACAAATTCTTAGTTACTTTGCTTAAGAATAGAAATACGGACATACATAATTCAGAAGAACACAGCTTTATGTGCTTTAAAATCTTGTATTCATTGTTTTAAAATCACACACTTTCACGGCTCCGCAGTGTTTTCAGCATTGTGATTCTTGGTGGTAGAATTAAGTCTGTTTCTTTGCATAAACAGGGATACAGAGTGGTATTTTATTATTTTCATTCAATGTGTTCATTATTTTGGAATCTCATGTTTAAAAAATGATTAGATGATGTATGTTTGTAAAGCAATGACCATTGTCCATCAGTGGCATTGAAGGATGGCTCAAATAGAGGAAGTAATGATATAAGTCACTGGTTCTCAAACTTTTTACACCAAGTACAACCTCAGAAAATACTTGCCTCTCCAAGTACCACCACAAAAGACCAACACTACACAGTAGCGTAGTAAGCCTAAGTATATTCATCAAAAACAAGGCAGAGGTTTCATTCCTAAAGAAGTATATTTAATGTTGTCAGCCATTGTAACATTTTACACAGTTTCAACAGTAAGACTTAAAAATAGGAAAAAAACAAAAAACTGTACTTAAATAATGATTCAATTAAAATTTTCAATTCATTACGAACTGCAAAGCCTTGACTCACTGTGAATGATATTCTGGAGTGGGATCTTAGTCCACAGAAAGTTTGGACACTGCACTTTTGTTTCTAAGGCTTGGTCTGCTTCCCTCTTACATCTGTCGTTTACTCACACAGAGAGGTGTTGGTTTATATGGTTTGGATCAAATTATCTTTTGTTGCTCTGTTACTTTTGCACAGAACTGGGAAAAAAAGCTTTTGTATTTGCTGCTCCTTCTACAAGGAACGTGATGCAAAAAGACTGTAAATTATCTGAACTTATTTGATTGAATGCTTTTAGATCCAGATTGAGAGCACTGGAGACATTTGACTGTTTTATAATCTGTAATTGTATGCAATTTTTCTGTCCAGGACTCCCTTGAAAAAGAGGTTCTTAATCTCAATGGGACTTTCCTGGTTAAATAAAAAAAATATATATATATATTTCTTTTAATTTATTTCAGTGATTCTTTGGCGTACCACTAGAGGGAGCCCCTATTGGTACGCATACCACAGTTTGAGAACCACTGATATAAGATAATCTGACTAAAGTAAACTCAGTGTAGCACTTTGAGATTTCTTTCAATGCTGATATTTTAAAATGATTTATGTTTTATTGTAAACTGTCCCCAATCGAAACAGAATTGTTATTTTTTTGCAGCTTTGAAATGAGAAACGTCAAAGATAACAGCTCCATTACAGGGACATGCTTATGTGTGGGTTTTGTTTATGAAAGAAATGATTAAACAAATTATCAAACAGACAACGCAAGAAATTGAAAATGTGACTCGCCTTCATTGGGTTTGTGTCTGCAGAGTTTGACCCACTGCAGCAGTAGTAGCAGCAGCAGGAGAAGCAGCAGCAGGAGTAGGCCCGGGATGGAGCAGAGCAGAGGGACGAGAAGCCCAGAGGAGGAGGGTTGTGACGGGGGAGAGAGGCTGGAGGAGAAGTGGGCAGTGTGGACGGAGCAGGAGGAGGGCTGGTGCTAGGCTCTATAACTGAAAAATAATATAGACTGCTTCAAACTCCAGGTTTATAAGTCAGGACACACTTTCAGACATGTTTGAACTGTTCATCTTATTAACAGTTAACAGGTTTGGGGTGGGTGTATTGGGTGGTCGGATAGCACTTCCAGGCTAAAAGTAATTGGATTGCCACTTTTTATTGTACATAATATATCCTGCATTTAACATGTTTGCACATTTCTACCATTTGCACAATCTTGAGGGTTTCTATCCATGTAAATATCTCCTGTGTGAGATCAATAAAGTCGATCTTATCTTATCTTATTTTAAACAAAATGAGTTTTATTCAGTTGCTACATTCCATTGACACTCTGTTTTTTACAATCTTCCCTGCTGAAGAAAAGCAGCCCCTGCATGAAGCTCTCCCATCATATCCATTATTGGGGAAGGTGCACTGAGGGTGAGGAGCAGAGTTATTTATTTTTGTCCCACACAAAACATTTTGCATTTGGGCCAAGAACGATTATTCAAAAATAATTTTTCATTCTATAAATTAAATAAAAAATTGACCTGAAGGTAATCAAAACATCATTGGCCTATTTAACTATTTCTAACATGTTGGGTTCAGTTTGAGAATGCATTAAATTGTGTGGTTTTCTTTTGAAAAAAATCTTAAAAATACTATGGAAGCCATATAAACATTAATTAATTGAAAACCATTTTATGTACCACTAATATGGTCCAGGTCGCGAGGCTGGTCTTTGACACAAGTGGAATAGTAACCCTAAAGTGAGTGTGAAGAGAATTACCTCTTTGTTCATGAACTGTGATGTTCACAGCTGCAGAGCGGTGTCCGTCTCTCTCACACCAGTACAGACCATTGTCATCAGAATAAAGTTCCTCAATCTCACACACAGAACCATTAATCCTGCCCCAGTCCGGTCCACAGCGCTGCCTGCTGTCTGTGCTGGTGTTTCTGACCACAGTCCAGTCTCCAGTGCTCCCACAGTTCAGAGACACTGGCTTATGTTTGAAGAAATGGTCTGGAGTCACTGACAAATAATCAAGAAAGTGAATAATTAATCACAAAACATTTCTTTATTAGTAGGGTTAATAAGAAAACTAAATTTTATGATATTGTTGAATATTGTTTCAAGTTCTTAAATGTTTTTAATTAAATGTTTTTAATAGATTGACAAATATATTTTAAAGCATTGTATGACATACAGAAAGTGATGAAGGATACAGATCCAATGCACTGTCCCAGAATAAACTCACCCGTGAGCCTTGGTGCTGGTGGTTTCATGGTGGTCCTCTGTGTGACGCCGATCTTCACCGGCTTGTTTAAGTGACAGGCAAAGACCTCCTCTTCCTGTGTGTTTAGTTTTCAGTGACAATCTTCAGATTGTCATTTGGTCATTCAGTGTAAAAGCTTGTGGACACAGTTCTATTTATTTTAACTTTTTAGTTTGAAGGCCACTGTCAATATTATATGATCAAAGAGATAATTAGAGATCAAATAATGATTGATGAAAAGAGCAGCAGAAGGCCATGGACAGTAAGGGTGCAAATTAGAGATGTCCGATAATATCGGCCACCGATATAATCGGCCTGATATTAGCATACAAATTTAATATCTTTTAATATCGTTTTTGCCTTAATATATACAGTCTATGCTTAAAACGGATAAAATAATGCTTGCGTTACACCCAAATAGTGCCTATGCACTTCCGAAGCGTTTACCGGCGCACAGATGAAGACCTCATCAAGCTGCGTCTTGAAGCATACAAACAAGCGCGAATGGCTGCAGTAATAAACTTGCTTTTTGCACAGACAATGTTAACATTTGGAAAGCCTTGTTGCATTCAAGAATGCATTCAGTGAGGCATCACAATAACATGTTGTTTTGTAACAATTCGCCTCTCTCTTCCAAGACGACAGAGCTACAACTCTTTAAATAGGACGCGAGAGGAGATGGTCACATCAGAGGGATGAAATAAGTACAGGTGTAAAACCTGTACCTATTTTCTGTACCGAAAACTGGCTATTTATCAACTGATATTCTGAACTGATCCAATTCTCAATGTGAGTGTGTGCCAACACCCCCACGCTCGAGCGCAATGTCATCTAAAGCCACAAAATCGGGGGACGCTGACCGCGTTAAGTATGTTGATACACTGGACGTAATCTGTAAGGCAAGATAGTGGGAGAAATTGAGAGTGATCGAAGATTTGGATCCGTATGAAATGCGGAAAGACCGGTGGACTCACATTGTATACACTGGTGGTGTATGTAATGTAATATTTCTTTTAATCATTGATTAATTAATTTTTGAAGGAAGCAGTCGATATCACAGGCTGTAAATCACTGGAGCCATAAGCTCCTGTCTACCACCCTTTCCTCCTCTTCCTCCTCTCATTCATTTACAGGGGATCGCTTGAGGCCCATATATACATGGTATCACAGTCATATCGCAGCTCTGAATATAAACCACACATGCACAGATTTAACTAGCTCTTACCTGTTATGAAATAGTCAGAACAGACGTTTTTCGGGGTTAAGGTTGAATCCCTCTCGGTTGATCCTCGGCAACTAAAGGGTTGCTCTGTGTCGCTCCCCTGGCTCGTAATGACCTTCGGAATGTCCCCACAACCTGCACGGTTAGTGCTCCCCCAAACGATGCAGGTAGTCGGTGGCTTGACTTACAAGATGGCGGACTGTGGAATTGTGGGTAGTGCGTGACGTCATCGGAAAACCATCTATTTCGGCATATTGGATATCAGCAAAAAAGCCAATATTGGACATCCCTAGTGCAAATAATACAAAGTAATCTGTTGGATGGAACTAGTGTGTGACATCAACTTTATGCAGCCTGTCTACTACTAAAAGTAGAGGAAATTTCATAGTTCATGATAAGGACCCTCATCTGTTTCTTTTTTAAATCTGACTTGTATGTGTATTATTTTCATCTGTACGTTTTTTAAATGTGAAGCACTTTGTGATCCTGGTCTGTGAAAGTTGCTATACAAATAAACTTAACAGGGATGTGGGACCCTTCTATTGCTCCGTAAATCTGTGGCAGGCCCCGCGCTGCGTAATTACGCACGGCTATTTGTTTTGCCTCATTCATATCTGGCAAAGCAATGTCTTTTTTGATTAGTTTTGTGAAAGCTTCACACACCACATAAATGCACCGATGGACTGTGGTCTCGGTCAATTCAAATGTCTCACTGCCCTGTCCACATGTAGCAGTTTATAGATAGGATTGCAACATGCTTACTGTATTTGTGAGAACTGTGGGCAGTGCACAGTGGGTGCCACGAGAGCTCCCACGGCATAACTATGTGGTGTGGGTCATTCAGAAGTTTTGGATCCAGAGTTTCTCTGTGAAATCATGGACCACTAATTCCCAAAAGCTTCTCATCCTCTCTCAAGTGTACAGAGATTGCTCCATTGCATTTACGAGAAGATGCCGCAGACGCTTCATCCAGTTGATGATGAGAGCCACTGCCGAGGCCGAGATATTAACGTTCATTCATTCATTCTACTGAACAACTGCTGGAGGAACATAAGAAATTCACTGCATGTAATGTGTATGTGACACTAATCTAAACTCATGGCTTCTATCCACCCACACCTTAATAATAATAATGATTATAATAATAATAATAATAATACTTCGAACTTGTAAAGCGCTTTTTTGGACACTCAAAGATGCTTCACATGGGGTATAAAAAAAAAAGTGTGTGGGGGGGGGGTTACGGAGAAGCTTGATTGAACAGGTGCGTTTTGAGACTGATTTAAAGTTTGGGAGTGAGTCAGAGTTTATAATGGGCAGTGGGAGTGAGTTCCAGAGGGTTGGGGCAGAAATGGCAAAGGCTCTGTCCCCCAAGATTTAGCGGTTAGTGCAGTAGATGGGAGTGGGGTGGTTGGAGTCGGCTGAGCGAAGGTGGCGGCTGGGTTGGTGTTTTTGTAGGAGCTCGGTGAGGGAGGGCGGGGCCAGGTTATGGAGGGGCTTGTAGGTGAGGAGAAGGAGCGTGTACTGGATGCAATATTGAACGGGACGCCTTAAGGATCCTTCAGGAGATGTGCCCGAGGGAGGATAGCACATCATATGGACACATCATTATTATTGTTGTTTTGGTAATATTGTAAAAAAAAAAAAAAAAGGATACAAAATTAATGTTGTCTCTGTTTATGTCATGTTCAGAGTTTCAGTCTACAGAAAAGTGAGTTAAAAACCTGTATGACTGGGTGCACATTTGTGATTTGGTGACTGTTTGTATAATAACAGGTTTTAATCTACAAAAGAGGAAATAAACACCATGACAATGACATGTTGAGAAATGGGTGGAGTCAAATTCCAGAGCCAAGCCTTCTCAACCACTTCCAGACAGAAGATGCAAAACAAGATCTGCGTAACACATCATAACAACATACATTGGCTTCCCATCTTGCTATCTTGTCAAATCCATGATCACAATATTTTATTTCGTGAGAAGTAACTGAAGATAATTTGTTTTGGCCTACCAGAGGCAATATTCCCAAATCATAAAAAGCCCAAATGACAGGTCAGAATTGTCATTTCACTGAACCTATAAAGATAATTCAATATATTTTCATATAGCCCTAAATCACAAAGGCAGTCACCCCGGAGGACTTTACATAGTTGAAAATCCTCAACGACAGATCAGAGAATCAAACAGTTTGAGGATCAGCGTGGAACAGTTTTACTGCATCACTTTTAGGAAGGATATTCATAATTTTAGCGATTTTGTGCAGATAAAAAATATACAGTTTTAGTTGCTTGGTTTATATGTGCTCTGAAGGAGAGTTCTTGGTCCATATTATGAGACTCACAATTTGCCTTTTGTATTTGCATATCGTTTGTTTATGTATATTGCCTCCGGAATCCACTTGTTTGTGTGGACCGAGCACCATGTTGAGTGGTTTTCAGCGGCAAAAGTGACGTAAGTGCCTTTCCCTCATAAAATGTATGGATAATGTAGTCTCTGCTCGCAGTGAGACGGAGTAGGAAGCGTGGATTGTGCAGGGCGCTCTGAAAAGCAGTGGGGCAGCTAAAGAATTTAAAAAAGATATGCAAATGAGCAAATGGACCACCAGGGTTTGTCCATTCGTCTGTCTGTGAGCAACATACTGTATAACGCATTTTCAGAAAACCTCTGAAATGAGACAAGGAACATGTTAATATTATGTCAGGAATGAACCAGACAGAGACGGATCGTGGTGCGCCAAACTCTGGAAGTTTATTATGTTTCTCTCAAGTTCCAGTGGTTTCTGATGTTTCTTTCTCTCAGATCAAAATGGAGTCAGTACAGTTATATAGTCATTGTTACGTCACACATCGAAAGACATACGTGTGACACAGAGACAGAGCACATCATAGTCATAACATGAATGCACCATCAGAGTCCTTGTAGAGTCTTGTGCTTGTCCTGCACGTAGGCCAAGTAGCTATCTAATCCTTACAATTAACCCAAAACAAACATGTAACAGGTTTATCCTCCAGCGACTTTCTGGACCAAGACGAGCAACAACATCTGGGGATGGGTCCTTTAGTGCAGTGCCACAGGTTTCCCCAGTGGTAATGGAAGGATGGGTCAAATGTAGAGGACACATTTCCTTTTGACACAGTAAACCCTACAGTAGGTGATCTGGATCTCTGTTCGGATCCAGGATTTTTTGGTGGTCTGCTTTCAACAGGGTTTTTCTACTTCGTAAATAATGTTTGACTTTTTTGGAACCTGAAAGATGCTTCATGTCATCATTCATTACTGTGTTTCTGCATTTTGAAAGAAATGTCCTTACCATAAATTAGTTTGGACAATTTCCCAAGTTAAATTTATTATTATTTTTGTTATTTATAATCATAGGACTGTGTTTGCAGCCAGTAATCTTTAAATATATGGAAGAAAAAAATCTGAATGAATTCTACCCCTCCCTGTGGTGGGAACTGAGGGATGGGGAAGGTTGACAGCTTTAAATATTCTTGATACTTATTTCACCATGTAATTCCTACTGAATATTTCAGTTCATATTCGAAAACAGGAAAAATAAATAATGTGTAAAATGTCCTTTTTAAAGAAGAAGAATTTAGCTAATACTGGGTAAGTGTGAAGAAAAGAAAGACAATGCAACAAATATATTCCATCAATAGCAATATATGCATGTGTAATCACAGTAAAATAATATCCTTCATTCAATCACTGAAGTTATTTTCAATTGTGTGCACAATAGTGCAAATACATTTTCTGACAATATGAGCATAAATATCAACAATGCCAG